AAAAAAAAAAAAAAAAAATTGTTCCAAGCAGTCAGTTGTTACTGTCTTAGCGGGGTTCTTTAAGAGGGTCTTATAACTGTATGACTATATATGTTCTATATATTCATGGTGGGCCTAGGCTCACATTCCCCGAGTACAACAAATAGGCCTATCTGTACCAGTGTGCTGATATAACCTCAGACATGTTTGTGCAGTTTATCAATGTTTATTGGACCATTTGAATCTAGTGGTTATTTAAGTAGGCCCAGATCACTTTGTCCAGTGATCTGGCTCAGCATTTGTTAAAGTACCTTGTGTCTTTTAGGATATGAAAGGTTTGATGGCACAGACTGCAGGACCCAGTGGGCTCTAAGATGGTTTATGGGATAGAATAACTGGCTGGATATGAAGGAAGTCTGAAAGTTGAAGAAATATCTGCATTTTCTGAAACTACAGAAGTTCAGGGGTTTGTTTTGTGTATTTTTTCAGTCTTCCATAGCTCTCATGAAACTCCACCTCAAAATGTGACCTACATAGTAGGTGGTGTTAAAACCAATACAAATTAAGCCATTTAGGTTGTGGACAAAACAGCAGCTCCTTGTCGCAACTTATAGTGCTTTACCAGAAGCTCTATGAGTTGCAGTGAGCTCCTGGACCAGACAGAAGTTCACTGTTGAGTCTGGGAGTAGGGGATTCCAGCTGTTTGCTGCCAGCATCTGCAGCCCAGTCTCCATAGCAGCACCACTCCCAGCCTGTTGCTGTTTCCAGGTTGGGAGGGGGAAGGGGAGCAGAGGAAGCCCATTCTTGGGGTTTCCCAACCAGTGCTGGAGGGTGGGGTGAGTGGATTGGAGTCCTGCATTGCAGGAGGCCTCCAATCCACTCGCCCCACTCTCCAGGACCTGCTGAAAACCCCCCTGACCAAACTCTTTCCCTCCTCCCAGTCTGAAAACAGTGACAGGCTGGGAGCGCCACAGACACAAGTTAGGGAACATTGGAGTATGTTCATATGAACCCTCATGATTTTTGCAGGATTGGGTCCTTCTGCACTTCTGGTTGGTCTGTTTGACTTGGGTATATCCAGTTCTTTCTGGGGCCAGATCAAGTGAAAATTGTCACTCTGTCTGTGCCCTTAGGTGCCAGCACTTGCATACTTTGAGCTCCTTACACAACCAATGGGGAAAGTTAGGCAACTTAAAAGGGGACCCAAAACAGTCCAGAAAGTTGGAGACCTAGGGCTAATTTCATTCTAAGCCTGAGGAAATTCAAATGCATCTCCTGCCTCCAAGGAGAATGAGAATACCCTAGCTACTAGCCCAGGGGTGGGCAAAATACGTCTCACGGGCCGGATCTGGCCCATGAGGCCATTCTATCCAGCCCCTGGGGCCCCTAAAAATTTAGAAAATTAATATTTCTCTGCCCTTGGTTCCTGTAAAAAAATGGCAGGAACCAAGGGCAGTAGGACTCAGGGGAAGCCCTGGAGGGCTCCCACAACAGCAGGGCCTGCCCGGCCCCACCCCCCAGCCAGAAGCCCCAGCGGGGGCTTCTGGCCTGGGACCATGTGGCTGTCCCATGCCAGAGCCACAGGCAAGCGGAAGGGCAGGGAAGGACCTGGGGGAAAAGTGGCCGGAGGAAAAGCTGAGTGCGCAGTGGGAAAAGTGACCCCTCTCCTGTCCTGCAGCCAACGCCCTGTGTTGCAGCCGCTCGTAGCCTGCATGGGGCTGCCTGTGCCTGCACAGGACAGCCCCGCATGGGCTGCAAGCATCTGCAGCAGGGAGCGCCGGCCACAGGGCAGGTGAGGGGCTGCTTTCCCCTCCCCCCCCCCCCCCCCCCCCCACACTCAGCTTTTCCCTGGACTCCTTCCCTGCTCTTTCCCGGTGCGGAGGAAAGCGGCCCTTCCCTGCACCCCCCGTGGCCGGTGCCCCGCACTCTAGCTGCTCGCAGCCTGCACAGGGCTGTCTGGAGCAGGCACAGGCAGCCCCAGGTGGGCTGTGAGTGGCTGCAGCGTGGGGTGCTGGTCGTGGGGTGTGGGAGGGGCCGCTTCTCCTGCCGGGCCCCCCCCGCACTTACCACCAACTTGTAACCCAGCCCCGCAGCCAGCCTGGGCCCCACGCAGCTCCAGGCTCCCCATTGGGGCTGCATGTGGCGACAGTAGCTGCGGCCCCGCTGCTTGCCACGCTGGGCAATGTTTGCTACTGTTGCCTGTGGGCTGCCCAGCACGCGCTCCGGGCGGGCAGCAGCAGTCAACACCGCCCAGCACAGCAAGCAGGGGGGCCGCAGCTGCTGCCATCATGTGCAGCCCCGATGGGTGATCCTGGAGCCAGCTTGGAGCCCAGGCTGGCAGCAGGGCTGGGTTGCAAGCTGGTGCTGAGCACGGGGAAAGGCAGCCCCTCACTTGCCCCGTGGCTGGCACCCCATGCTGTAATTGCTCGCAACCTGCATGGGGCTGCCTACGCCTGCTCAGGACAGCCTCATGTGGGCTGTGAGCACCTGCAGCAGGGAGCGCTGGCCATGGGGTGGGCAAGGGGCCACTTTTCCCCATGCTCAGTACCAGCTTCTTCCCTGCTGGCGAGTAGGGGGTTGGGGCTGTGTGCTGCCCCTTGCCTGTCCCGTGGGGCTGAGGGGCACTGGGTGTGAGTGGGTGGGGAGCCAGTGAGAGCATGGGGCCCACACTGGTGCTCCGGGGCCAGTGCCGGCAGCGTCCAGGGCAGGGTGGCAGGAGCATGGGGTCCCAGCCAGCAGGGGCTCTATGGAGCCGGGCCAGCTTCCCCCTCCCCCTGCTGGTGCAGCCTAGCCTGGCTTCACAGACACCTGCCAGCCTATGCCCCACTTTAGGTCCCACCGGTGCTGGCCCTGGGACATGGGACCAATGTCTTGGGACCAGAGACATCGGGACATTGGTCCCAAGATGGTGACTACGGGGCAGGGCACCTGTCAGGGGGCAGGGCACCTTTCAGGGGGCAGGGCTACCCATGCGGCCCTCGACAGCCTGCCAAAACTGGGTAAGCGGCCCTCCACCCAAAATAATTGCCTGCCTCTGCACGAGCCTGTAAGCTAAGCTGGTCAGTGGCACTCTCTTTCATTTCTATTAAGCTGTACCGATGTACAGTAATGACTACAAATCCAGCCAACAGCAAGCACAAGATGGATTCTCATTTTTTTTGATATCCTAGTAGTTTGGGTATTTTCTCTCCATGGGGTTTTTTTAAATCAAAATAAACATCCACATCTGTGATGAGGAGCCCCATCCATGGGTTGTGCTTTGAGTAGGCCTAGCAGATGAGACCCCTCTGGTAGAGGAATTCTAGTTTTCAAAGCCTGACCAGCTAAGTACAGAGCTGTCCCAACCCTGTTGAAACTAGGAAAGATCTGGCTATGTTCATGGATGCAAATTTAGGTGTGTGTGTGGGG